TGTGATTAATCAGTATGCATTAATTATGTTCAATTTGTAACAATGAAAATATATCCTGCATATTAGATATTTACATTACAATTCATAACAGTAGCAAAATTACAATTATGAAGTAGCAACAAAAATAATTTTATGGTAGGGGGTCACCACAACATGAGGAACTGTATTAAAGGGTCGCGGCATTAGGAAGGTTGAGAACCACTGGTATAAGAGATGATGGGAGTGATGAGTTGATGAGTTAGTGTGTGGGCTCAGCACAGCACTGAAGTGAGTACTCACTACATGATAGATATTATTAGCACTGATATGCTGTAAATCCATTCCAGCCCATTAAGAACCCATCAAGTACATGGCACTATGTACCTTAAGAACCTTCACCAGATGACAACCCACTAACTTCCCTTTTTAAAAAGCTACTCTGTGTGTCTAAATCGCTCTAGCTACAGAGTATGTACATCTTTACATAATCAGCATAAAAGATCTCATTAAAAATAATCAAGACAATAAGTTGGGTCTATCAGTGATAAAAATATTTCAATCCAAAAATTATGACAATTAATGATGAGAATGCCTGATGGTTGTGAAATATCAGTTTCATTTTAATATTTATTAAGCTACTGTTTTCACAAATATTTTCCAGTAGCAAATATCTTACTCCCTACTGAAAAGTAAGGAAAAATGGAACACAAAATTATTAGGTCAATATCACAGATGTCAAATATTAGACCCGGAAAATCTTTATGGTCTCACTAATTCCTTTGTATTCCAAAAAAGCAACAAAAAAAATCAGAAATAATATACAAAGTGAAATAGACAATTAAGCAATTATACAGCAGGGGAAACATTCATAGAGGCCTTCCTAATTCTCTTTCCCCTTTCTGTTCTGCCCTTTTAACTGATTTTTTTTAAAAAAATTTTAATTTATATTTTAGAGAGAGAAGAAAGGAGAGGGAGAGAGACAGAAACACTGATGTGAGAGCACAACACCGAACTGGCAACCCCCAGGTGAACAGGACGATGCCCAACCAACTAAGCCACATGGCCAGGGCTTAACTCATTTTTAAAAAAATCCACATATTTCTTTCTTCAAAACATAGATTGTGTGTGTGTGGCAGGAATGGCAGAGAGGTTTCAGATGTAATAATACTAAGGCCTGTTCCCCTATATCACATAACCAGTTCTCTTAATTGACCATGTGTTCCTCTACTTCTGTAATTAGAGTATCACACCCGCCACAATACACACACACAC